CATGTTCTAAATGACATTGCAGGTACGACGGTATAACTCATAGTGCTGAACTGACCATTGATGAGTACGTTGGCTACATATCCAGTACTCATTTCGCACACATGTTCCTTCATGAAAATCCAGGATCAAATATTTTGGAAGAAATAAAACAAAAGTTTGTATTTGTGTCACTGTTTGCGTAAACTAACACTAACTATATCGTCTTCTTATCTTGGTTACTATACCACAGTAATTCATGTTTTCTGTACACATTTTAATCATGTGACTAGCGTTGGTTTCACTATCGTGGGTTGGCGTGGTCGTTAAAGCTTATGGTTGCTAAACTGAAAAATCCTGAGTTCGAACCCCCAGGTAGATAAGGGACAGATACCCTTCTAAATACTCCTACAGGTAGATAAGGGACAGATACCCTTCTAGATGAAAATACTCCTAGTTTGTCCTTGCCTGGACACAGGCTATAGTAGGGAATCAAGCGGGCTGAAATCGGAGACAACCGGCCTTGTGACGCAATATACGGTGACACGTAATACTTAATTGTGTTGGAGGAAACCCCTTACAATGGTGCAATTATTATGTGGAAGAAAGAAGAAGCTACATGATCTACGTTTGCGGACTAGCTGAAATAAAATCGCCCTAGCGATAACAAAATGGTGTAGTGTCAATGTGTCAGTATCATTCAATATTGATTTTTGTTATGTGGAAAGAGATCTACCTCTCTATAATACCTCTCTCAATCACTTCATGAGTCCATTTATAAAATATATTAAAATAAGGCGAACATTTTCTATAATATACACACAGTACTACAGTTTAGTCAGTTTGAAGCCAAACTTGTGGAAATATTGAGAAATATATAGAAGACCTGTCATGTTTAGAATACTTTACAGTTCTTATTAAACGTAATATAGAAATTGACTTACTGTGTTTGTGCACTTATAAAAAAAATTAAATCTGTTTTTCAGTTTGGAGAAAATCTACAGAAAAACTCAAGACGCGGAAGTTCCAGTAAAAATAAAAATATCTTGGGAGCATTTCATCATTCTGGGCAAAATGTCTTCAGTCTAATTAGTGTGATTGAGATTTTCCCAGTTAAATTAGTTTGGGATGATTTTATCATTCTGGACAAAACGTCTAATTAGTGTGATTGAGATTATCACAGTTAAAATAAATTAGTTTGGAAACATGTTTTATCATTCTGGGCAAAATGCCTGTCTAGTTAATGTAATAGAGATTATCCCAGTTAGAATAAATTAGCTTGGGAAAATTTTATCATTCTGAGCGAAATGTCAATCTAACCAGTGTGATTGATACGATTATATCTTTAAGTAACAGCACATTATAGCTTATTTCTGAACCTTATTTGATTTTATTTGACTTTAACATTAAAATTCAATACATTATTTTTGAAAATATGTTGTTTTACACTAATGACATATACATAGTGGAAGACAAAAACATTTAAAATAAACAGACGTAACCTGAAGTCTATTACTGTCTAAATCAAGTAAAATGTAAAAAATAAAAATAAACTATATTTAAATCATATGGATTCGTTTGCATTTGTTGAAAGATGATGGAAGATTTTATTCTTCTACAAAAACTACGTTTTGATACACTGCTAATAGTTAAGAGGGGTTTTATTCACTTAGCTTTTGTAGCACGTGGTAGCGGTGAGAACATAATGAGTCTTTTATAAGCAATTACCTTTCTTTTAACCCGTTTTTGTATGAGAAAACTCTCTAAATATATATATATATATATATATATATATATATATATATATATATATATATATATATTTCTTCAACATTTTGTATTGTGAATTCCCAGTAAATTTAGCTTTAAGTTTAACAGTATTTCACAAATTTACCACACCAAATTTTGGAAATTTCGAAAAAAATATTCCTAAAGTGTTTTCTGTAACGAAACATAGCCTGAGGTTTTTTCCAAGATAGCCGCAGTTGCCACAGCAACCATACTTTCAGAAGAGTCCCTGATGCATGCACATTTTTTCCTTTAAGTACCCTAACTTAGATACAAACAAATAAATAAATAAGGCTTATTAATTAAAAATTTGTTCTTTTCCGGAACTTAAAGTATGAGCCTTTTATAAAATAAATCCATGTTTGACGTCCCGTATCGTTAGGTGTTTACATGAGATTTGAAGTCTGTTTGTGATACGCTTGACTGAACAGTTCCTCCGTGTTCGATATGCTCCAGTTAACATTGTACACAAAGTCGTATTTGGAAGTGGAGGCTTGTTTATCAGGACGCTGCGTTAAGAAAACTTGCCCCCCCCCCCCTCCCCCCACCTTCCACTGCATCGTCCAATTCTATTTGTTTGTCCCTTTGTTAGCGGTGGAAGTTAGATTAGAAGCTCAGAGCAGAGAACAAAGAGAACATCCACGGAGTCGATATGGATATAGTGAACAGTATAAAGGTACATCGTTTTTCAAAATTAATTTGTATCATTTAAAAAAAAACAACAACAAAAAATATGAGTGTAACTTAAACACAGTTGATTTAAAAAAAAAGAACGCATAATTTATAATTATAAATAATAAAAAAATATTATTTAAATCTAAATTGATTTATAGTGTTTGTACTTGATACACGGATAAGCTTTGTTAGTGTATCGGAGGACTTTGTCATTATCAGACTTTCTTAATTTTTCATGACCCCCCACCAATGTATTCTTATTGGATTAAACTGTCTGTTTGGGTAGACTGTACGATAGTTTACCTAAAAGACTCGAGTTTGCATACTAGGAGTCGGTTCTTATATTTGGGGAAGTAAAAGTCACTAAACATAACACACCATTCTCCACGTTATGTAGCCACAGAGAAACTCTACTTCACCTGTTATATTGATCATCCAAGCTATTGAGGTAGTTTTCGCGAGTCCATTTCTAAGCACAACACATACAACCAAACTCACAACACACGAAAATTGAGCTCACTAACTTAAAATTCTACTTTATCCTCCTCGACCTCTTAAGTCGCGGTTCGAAATTTGTATTTTATACTTTCGTTGGTTTCCCTTTCCCCCATTAACTCCTCTTGGCTTACTGTGTGTTCGGTATGTTTTTATTATCTCCCTTTGTGGGTTACACACTTACGAACTTGATATATCGACTGCAAAGAAGACAAATGCAATATCTCCACTTTTTGTTTGAAACCAATGTACTTTAATACACAGAGTTTCTTTCAGGCATATTTTCGGGGGGAGGGGGGGGGGGCGCCCCCCGAAGAAAGTATCTGCCCCCCCCCCCCCGAAGGAAATGGAATTGATATAGAAAACATATAATTTTACCAGTGTTCGCCCCCCCCGCCCGAAAATATCAAGTGCCCCCCCCCCCCCCCCCCCGAGAAAGAAAAAAATCTGGAAGAAACACTTATTATACATATGTTTGTAATAACAGAAACTATCAGAACACCTATGTAAAGGTAAGAAAACTATAATGCAAATATGTTTTAACGTTTAACATAATATTTTACAATTTTTTTAATATGGGGATACGATTTGAAAACTTATTTTTATCGAGATCATGTTTTTGGACATACTACCTTTGTCCTCTACACAATCGATGTATGCAATTATGTAGGAGGTTAAAGACAATAAATTTATTTTTCTCCACTATATATTTTTAATGCTACTAGATCAACCACCACCAAAAGACTTACTAGATTTCGGGTATAGTTTTGTTACAGAACGACCCAAACATTCATAGTGTGGTGTGATTTGGATTAATGCGAACGAGCCGACCCGCTGCGTATCATACGCCGCTATTTAGTTTTTTTTTTTCTACTTTTCAGTAATTTATAATTTGTGAATTCGACAGTACCAATGCTGCCACTGAAAATATTTGCTTCAAAACACTAACCTCCACCCCCTCCCCCCACGTGAAAGCAGCCTCCTCTTAGTTACCTCCTCTAAGTATAAAATCGTTATAAACTAAATAATCTGCCCCTAATAGCCGTCACCAAACCCGTCTCTGTGATTGTAAAATGTAAACAGCGTGACCACAGCTCACCAGACAATGTGGGAGTGGGGTGGGGGTGGTAGTGATAGTGATAGAGAGAAAGAGAGGGGACTGCAAGGAGGCGCTTGCAGCTTGTTTTCTAAGGGCTCCTAGAAGAGAATTATATATATATAGATTGCGCATGTTTCTAATTCACACCCGGCTTAGTGTGGTGTGGTGTGGGTTAGTGCAATGTTCGCATGTTTCTAATTTCTAATTCACACCCGGCTTAATGTGGTGTGGTGTGGATTATTGTGATGTTCGCATGTTTCTAATTTCAAATTCACACCCGGCTACTACAGGATATTTCCTGTTTGCGCTGACGTATTGACCCGACCAAAGCAGGATTTTACTTAGTGAAGGAGATGGGGGATCAAGCAATTAAGATATAGCTTGGGACAGGGGGGGGGGAGAACTTGCTGCTTGTTGAAATATTTTTTTTTTCGTCTAAGTATTACAAAATGTGAGTTAGGACGCTAGTAGGACGCCAATAAATAAATATAATAAGCATTATACTGAGATTATATATTTTAAAATGAAACTGTATCAATCAATATAACATTTAAAATCCGGCAGATGACAATGGACTAATAATAAAGACAAACTTTTAAATTAAAAAAAAATGAGACTCAACATTTAAAAATAAAAATTAAATGAATTATTGTAGTTTAGTTTTATAGCATGATCTTGACATTTAAAGTGACTAAATTATATTAAAACATAAGGGGGGGGGGGTATTCAAGTTGATAATAATTAATAAATAACAAAACAATTACTTGGAAAGTTGTATAAATATTTATATTTAAATTAAGTAAATTTCTACAAAATTTCAACAGTTGTCATTGTCATCATAATCATCTTTAAAACATCGTTTATTACTGTTGTAATTTAAAATACTACTGTAAGTTATGACAACTTTTTAAACATTGAATTTCCTAAATTTCTGACCTCAAAGGACCTAAGCTCCAAGTACGACAACATGGCTACAGAACTTCACAAGGGAAAGAACTTCGCTAATTTGTACGCAACCTACAGGCCGAGTTATCCCCAGGAAATCTACGATCAAATCATGGCCTACCATCTGGAAAATTCACTCAACGGGAGACAACTCGCTGTTAATGTTGGCTGTGGGACTGGTATCAGTACATTGCCCTTAGTGAATTACTTCGATAAAGTACGAATTACACTGTTATAAAATAAGTATTGGGGACTAGTTGGCAATATCAAAATGTCCGGGTAGTGATAATATTTTAGCAATGTAGTTCCACACCCTGTTGTAAACTGCATGTTTATTATTAAAACATAAATTGTTGCGAGATTTTAATTAAGTGTTGTCTGTATAAGGGAGGTTTGTTATATCGAGCATATATATATATATATATATATATATATATATATATATATATATATATATATATATATATATATATATATATATATATATACATATATATATATATATATATATATATATATATATATATATATATATATATATATATATATATATATATATATAATTATATTTATATATATATAATCTCCAAGGCAAGCTCAGAGAAAACACACACACACACACGCACACACACACATATATATATATATATATATATATATATATATATATATATATATATATATATATATATGCTATGTTTATGATAAAATTTAAATGTTATGTTACGTTTATAATATAAATATTTATGTCAAATTATGCTAATGATTAACATAGTAATGCTAAGGTTAGATTACGTTTATGTGTAGGTGATAGGGACAGATATCAGCGAGGACATGATGGCGCATGTCCCCAAGGACATCCCAAAACTCGAATGTCATGTGTCATTTGCAGAGGACCTCGAGTTTTTGGAGGATCGGTCTGTGGATCTTGTAACCATAGCAACAGCCTTACACTGGGTTGATGAAAAACGGTAAGATTTGAATATCAACATTTTCATGCGGAAAAGAAAAGGGCTACACAGGGGGAAAAAAGATACAGTTGGTTATAAAACTTGTATTGATTACTTGCCAGGTTTTTTAGTGAAGTGAGACGAATTCTGAAGCCCGGTGGGACCTTAGCAGTTTATGGACTTGGTAGCGAGGCCTTAGAGAACAACAAAGCCCAGTCTTACATTTTACAGGTTTTTTTAATATTGTATTCTCAGGTTTTAGTGATTACTGCTGTATTTCGCTTAGGTTTTAGTGATTCCTTTTTTTAGTAATAACAGTTTAGTTTATTTAAAAAAAAATTGATATGATGAAATACTATTAAAATTAATAGATAAATTGAATGGTCGTTCACCATATACAATTTCAAAAAATCATTTTTTTTCGAGTAAAGGTTTGTTACAAAAACTATCCAGCTGACTCTAATATTAGAGTTAGTGAAAAAATGACCAATGATTATATCTCAATATATATGTTATGTTATGGACAATGAGACCTCCACAAAAGTTTTTAAACAGATGGCCGCCATTGCCATGGCAACAATATGTTATGAAGATTCCCTGATGCATACAATATTTTCCCTTAAGTACCCTAACATAGATACACACATATAAAAACAAAGCTTTTTAACTAAGAAGTTTTGTTTTCCTTTTTTTCCCCGGAGCTTATCCCAATAAAATACCATTTGTGAACACATTATGCAACTTGTAAGAAAGAAGAATTAGTATTGTAAATCTATATCAGTCCTCACAATCCAATGATAAAAAAAATGTAAAACTAATTTAAATAATCGTCAAGGCTATTCGATTTGATTTAAAGATAAGCAGCAAATTGTTTTTCAAGATTCGATTTTCACCTACAGATATCATGCATTTAAATCATTTCATATTTTAAAATAATCTTACAACTAGGTTTAGTAAAAAACGACTCTATATTTCTTTGAACTTAAATTGTGTCTAGAAATGTTTCACAAATTCTGCCCTTTATTTTGGTTAAGATGCTAAATCTGAAAATTGTCTCGGAGTTCCAGAAGTTTGAGATGTCGGAGATTCCTTTCAAGAATGTGAGAAGGTTGGTGACCAAGTAGAACGAAATTACAGCATATTGATGTTTAATTGAAATGTGAAACAAATTTACTGCTTGCGATTGTAAAATTGCATTCGATTCTACATTCAATAAAGATATCTATGTTTTAAAATGTAATGTGGCAAAATTAGTTTTTTCTTTATATATATGAATAAATAAATAAATAAATAAATAAATATATATATATATATATATATATATATATATATATATATATATATATATATATATATATATATATATATATCTATTTATATATATATAAATATATATATATTATATATATATATATATATATATATATATATATATATATATATATATATATATATATATATATATATATATTTACTAGGTATCATAACAATAGTTATGATATAATACTGCTCATATGTTACACAGACTGTTTGAATTATTCAGAAACAAAATCAAATTAGCTTGTTCTTCATTATAAAATATAACAATTTCGTATTCCAAAGGTAGTTTAAATATTAGTATTAATTTAAAATGCTTAACAATTACCAAAATATTAGACAAAACATAGAAAATAAAATTCAACTTGTAATCATTACAATGTGTGATGAAGTTATACGATGTGTTGGTCAGTGTTTGATTACATGTTTCAGGTATAATGGTGTTAAGAATACAGCTGTTTTGACCACAGACGAGTACATTGGATATCTCTCCAGTATCCATTACACCAACCTGTATATCTTAGACAACCCGGGTACAAATATCATGGACGAGATGAAGCATAGGTACGTTTATAGTGAACTGAAAAAATATTTTTTGGGTGGGGGGGGGGGGGGGAATGGGTTAATTCTCATTTCTTTAGATATAACGATTTTTATATGATGTGAAATAATTTGAAACAGAATATGTTAAGTGAAATAAGCGCGACGGTAGTTGTAAGTGAACATGGACAGCTTTCATTTTGGTGGGTTCATGGGGTGGGGTGGGGGGGGGGGGGGCGGGGTTAACCACCTTAGCATACTTCTGCCAATACCAAGATGACAGTTGATGATTTAGTCTATTTTTCTTATTTTAAATTCTATAGACTGACTTTTCATTTTCTAAAATTCTTAGTAAAAAATTCGAGTTATTAAACTTGTTTCTTTTCTACTCTTGATACTATTTTTTTTTATTTTTAAAATTTCAGTTTGGAGAAAATCTACAGAAAAAATCTACCGGAGGAAGATCCAATAAAAATAAAAATATTTTGGGAACATTTCATCATACTAGGCCAGAGCTAAGACAATAATCTTCATAGAAGTATACACGATGCTTCTAATGCCCTTGATCTGATTAAAATACTGTTAACAATCTATTGTCATGATAAAAATACAGCAGTCTACTGTCTAATATAAAACGCCTAAGATATATCTACCAAAGAAAAAATTTCGGTCACTGTCAATACGTTTTTTTTTAAAATTGACAAAATACATTAATGCACTCTAAACCAAACATTTTAAAATTAACGATGTGTTTTTTTTTTTTTTGTTAAAACTAAATTTGTCCGACTCATTTGGGTGTATGCAGTGGCGTAGCGAGGTCGGGTGTCACCCGGTGCGGCACTTAATGGTGTCACCCCCCCCAGAGGCGTAGCGACGGGGACAAACTTTCAAATTTTCGATTTGCACCCCCCCCTCAAACTTTCGATTTGTCCCCCCCCCCCCCTCAAGTTTTCGATTTGCACCCCCTCCTCAAGTTTTTCTCTATATATTTTGCTATTTTTGCCATGGTGTCACCCCCCTAAATGGTGTCACCCGGTGCGGTCCGCACCCCCCCCCCCCCCTCGCTACGCCCCTGGGTGTATGTTCCTAAAGTAAATCTCTGCGTGCTGGCCCTGTGGACTCATCAACGTTCTTGTCGTTGTGCGATAATGTTTTTATGTACATTTAATGTTTAAATGATGATATTTTTTTCTTCACGATAACCGGACAGACATGAATTATGTGTTGAATATTGAATCATAATAATACTGAACGGGACGAATTATATAAACAAAGTAAGTAAAAATCCCTTTCATACTTGACGGTCCATGGGACAAGTGAAGTAGATTTTCTTTGCCCTCGGCATATGAAGCGATAATACGGTCAACACTGCGCCCAGCCGACTTAAATTTCCCTAACGTGAGTTGGGCAGCCATCAGAGCTGGGTGAACTCAGAGAGGCTGGACGGACATGTACCCGAATTAGAACACGCGACTTTCGGGTAAGCAGTCTTATGCTCTACCATGGACGATAAATATACTTGACCATAATACAAAAGGGGGAAGCTGTTAAGAGGAACCCGTGTCTTTTAAGATTTCATTAATGTAAAAATTTATATATATATATATATATATATATATATATATATATATATATATATATATATATATATATATATATATATATATATATATATATATATACATAAATTTTTAAATTAATGAAATCTTAAAAGATTTATCGAATAAATGGTTTAGAATTCAATCAATCCCCTAACCCCCCCCCCCCCCCTTCCGGAATTACACCATTTCCAGGGCACGGGATTTCACGGTACTGTCACTTAGACTATTGCATACATTTATACCCCCTGTTCTCAAGGATGTTGCTTCCTAGTATGACGACAAGGCCAATGATCTTCACAAGGGAGAAAACTTCGCCAAGTTGTATACAACCTACAGGCCGAGTTATCCCCAGGAAATCTACGATCAAATCATGGCCTACCATCTGGAAAAATCCATCCACTCAACGGGAGACAACTCGCTGTTGATGTTGGCTGTCGGACTGGTATCAGTAAATTGCCCTTGTTTAAGTATATCGATAAAGTAGGAATTGAATTTTTATTGTAAGACACATGATGAACCTAAATAATTATTTTAAAGATGCACTATATAGATGCAATAGAAAGAAGAACTGTACTAGGTGTAATGATTCAGAATATTACGATTTAAAAAAATGCTATTGGGTTTTATTGGTTAGAAGTTTGATACCCATCAGTATAAAGCTTGACCATAAGACTTTTTTGGCGCCTATCAGTTAATACAACATTTGGAATGAAATCGGTGGTAAGTGGTAAGTGTAAAAACAACAAATAAGCGAAAAATGAAGTTTTTTTTAATAGTCGGGCGAGCTTTATTTTGCTGAGATATTTTGTCCTGAAAGCATTTGTCGTTGGGCTATTTTGTCCTGAAAGCATTTGTCGTTGGGCTATTTTGTCCGAGATTCTTGTCTGAGAATACTAGTACTTTCAAAACGCACACAAACACGCACGCACGCACGCACACGCACACACACACACACTCACACACACACACGCACGCACGAACATGCACAAACACGTACACACACAGTATTTCATTCAAATTTGATTTAGATCTACGTACTCTATAAAATGTATACAATACAATTTTTCCGGCCTAAACTTAAGAAATTTATTTTATCTATTTGGATAAAATAAAATCATATGGCGAAGGACAGGATTAAACGACATTGTCTCAGAAGTTCGAACGAGGAGATGGCTGGGCCATGTCCTACGCATGAGCAAAAAAAGACTCCCCAACATGGCGCTGAAGTGGAACCCACCCGGAAAGAGAAATATAGGAAGACCACTGGGAACATGGAGGAGGGAGATGGAAGAAGAAGTACAGGCTACTGGCAAAACCATGCATGAACTAAAGTGGCTCGCCCAGGACAGGGTGGAATGGCGGAGATTTGTTGCTGCCCTATACTCCACAGGGAGTGATGAGGATTAAGTAAGTAGTAGTAATTTGGATTCTAGATCTAGAGATTCTAGATTTAGACTAGATCTAAATCTACGCAAAAACTAGACGTAGACGCTAAGATCTAGATTTAGACTCTATCTACTCTAGAATCTATTCCAAAAATAAATTTCTATATTAAACTATTTCAGACCTTAATTTTATTTTATAGAAAGCTTTGTTTGTTAGCTATGGAACTGGTTAATTTGGATATAAAAAATAATTTGAAAGAATAGGCATATTAGCGTAAGATAAGCTTTTTAAATACGTCTTTCATTCTCCATGTTTTATAATGTACCTAAATAGCTGAGATGATAGTATACTTAATACCACACCAAGTCAAACTTGATTATTTATTTTTTTAATATGTGAACCTTCCGATTTTAGACTATAAAAAAGGAACTACTTCATTCAAATTTGATTTAGATCTAGATCTATAGATCTACTTATCAAGACGTTCGCTATGAAATATATACAATTTTATCGGTCAAACTAATACAAATTACTTAAAAACAACATAATAACCATTGAATAGCCAGATTTTTAACGGAATCATTTAAGTCACGTAATCATTGTGTGCCTGTGTTATGTTAAATGTGTCGGATTTTTAGCTAATTAGTTATTTCTTTGCTTTTTCACTAATATCGTTCAGCATGTAGTAAAGCACATTGCGTTTTGACCAATAACTATTTTATAATTTTTTTTCTCAAACAAGTACAACATGTTAAAATATATAGGTCTATAATTCACGTGAAACGGGTACCGATGGCTAGTGTATACATGTGTGTATAAGGATGTGAGACTAGTAAATACTAAGGTACCGAAGTACGGCTAATGTACCCTATCCTTAATGTTTCAGTGAATTGTATTTGAGAGTAACGGTAACTCCAGCTAAACCAGTGCCCGATTCATTCTCCTCAGCTACCTCCCCTTAGAATTTAATTAAAAACCGCTTGACTTAGTTATATGAGTTTACTTTTTAAAAAATTAAATTTATGTATTACTTAACATTCATGGGGTATTCTTTTCAATATATTTATTAAATAAATAATATTAAACAAGCCTGCTTAATGAAGGATTATTGTATTAACTTTAGAATGTACGGGTAAGATTTTGGAATTTGATAATGAGTAAAATCTACATATCATTTTTGTGAAAGGCGTAAATGTGTTGGTGCTGGATTCGTATTGAATGGTTTAAATTGTGGAGGAATACCTGGAGGTTAATGTATGCATGGTGACATTTTTTTGTAT